ATTTTACATGAAGCTGTTAAAACTGCAATCTAGTTTTTTTTTATTTTATAAATTTAATATAATACAGGCATAGAATTTTTACCATATATATATACAGCAGTAAAGGAATAAACAATTTCAGCCAAATTACAGAGAAAAGGAGACCAAAATAAGCAAATTATGAAATAATGATCAAGTTTAATGTGTTTTAATAAACTTGTTTAATACGTATTAATACAATTATTGATATTCTTACTTTATTTGTCTACTGTATATTGTAATTAGATAAATATATTGATAACAAACTCTAGGTGTATTCGATAAGTATGCAAATAAGCAATAAGAACAACTGTATTGATGTTTTTTTTTATCTTTGTATTTTTTATATTTGCAAAATTTTGATATTTAATAAATTACTTCGAATTAATAAAATTTCTTAACTATTGACTATCTTTATTCAATCCCTTATCACATTTTAACATAATATTTATGAAAATAATATCACTATTCATACTATGGATTTTTATATATAATGTCATAGAAACTAATAATACTTGTACACTATTTTGCTCACTAGAAAATTTACATTATTTCCAGAGAAATTGTTGTCATAAAAAATTTCATTTAACTTTTAATTATATGATTAATCTGCAATATAATTATTTACTAATTAATGAATTGAATACAAGCATTTTATCTTGTTTAATTTATTCGCTAAGCATAGTCTAGAAAAATTATTTAAAATAAGATAAATGTAATAATGTCTAGAAAAATAAATCTAAAAAATATACACATTTTTTGAAACAATATTAAATTTATAAATATCAAATAGACACGATTAGGTATCAAACTCAATTTTCCTTATTATAAATTATAATTATTTATTACAGCTTAAACTTTTAAATAAAGTTTATAACATATATATATATATGAATAATAAGATGTGTGTTAATTTAAGTAGTATATTTTATAAGTTTATTTTAATGTAGTATGCATGTGAATAATCATAAACTTCCATTTAAAATTCATAAATTTTATAAATTAACCCTTGCACTTCTGCTATAATCTCTGTTGTAAACGTGTAATTTCTCTTAACTTCTGCAATTTATTAAGAAAATGTACTGTTGAAAAGAAGAGTAGGGTCATTATCATTTTCATTCGAAATTTTTTTTGGGATAATGTTTATTAGTTTATTTTATTTATCATATAATTTTTTAATTCTGATTAAATTTTTACAGGAGGATATGGTTATTCAAAATCGATTTAAATAATTACAGGGGCGGGAGCCAGACATCAACTCAAATTAGTAGGGTATATAAAGGTCTTACACTCTGCTTCTCTTCGCTCCAGCCTAATAAGTCTTGATCTTGCACTTTCAGCAATATTTATTGTATTTACAATTTTTCATTAAAATAAATGTCAAAATATTTTTGTTTATTATAAGATGATACATCAAGTTGTTAATTACGAGCTACTTTGCAGTGAAGGTGACACTACTCTAGAATTACTTAATTAATAGTACATTTTATTAATGATAACTTTATAATGAAATATGTTGCGCTAATTCCTGTGTTTGATCAATAATTATTACTTCTAGATTGCAGTGTGATTAATAAAAAAGTCCACTGACTTCTTTAACAATAACAATAATGAATTCGACAATATTCTTACCTCTGTTCACTGTCTTTCCTTTTTTTCTCTTCTATTATCAAGAATTGAAATGCAATATGAGGTTTAGAAATTCATATGATTTTATATTTAAATTAATTTCAACTAAAGAACATACCAGGCTCCAAGAAAGTTCTCAAATAGTCAATTCTTTCATTTTTACTTGTGATAGAAAAAAGAATTTGGTTTGCTTTAGTTTCATCGTGATCTGTGAAATACTTGCGAAGTCTTGTTTTTTCATCAAGTTCAAGTGGAAGGGTAGTTATTTGGGCAAAAAATGAACTTGACATCGTTTACATGTAGAAGAGTAATAAGTCGGGTATGTTTTTTAAAGCGTCTTTAAAGTTTTATGTTATCCAAGTCCTAATTTATGAAGATAACAAAAAGAATATTATTGATTAATCAAACTTTATACTAACGTAATAATGATATATAAGAATATTTAAAATTTTTAATCAATTTTTCCTTTTGAGGTTTTTTTTTTTGTGTATCTACTGCATTTTGCGGAATAATTAACTTTGGAAAATATAAATATTTAATTATACCCAGTTATTGTTCTAACGAAAGTGCTATAATAACTGGATACTGTACTAAGGGGAAATACTATTAATGTTTAAATTATATGTATGTGTCTGATTGTAATACTTGGATGCTTTACAATATCTTTACGTTATAAACCATACATTATACTTGGATCTTTTACATCAAAATTACCAAAAAGGAAGGTAAAGTTATTATGCTAAAGGGAACGTTATTCCACCAAATGCGGTATTCTAAACAAGAAAGTACTATACA